TATATGCTCTTTATATTATTAATTATTAAAAATGCATTAAGATGCAAATTAAATACATGAAAAGCATGTTTTAATGTGAAACCTTTCTAAGATTTTTGACAGGGCATTGGAACTGATAGTTGTATGTATGATATGTAATTAATTATAAATTTAAATTTGTCCAAAAAAGCAGTGCATTGAAAATAATAATTTGTTTTACAGAATTATCAGAACACAAAAACTAATATAAAAGTCACTGCTGTGTGTACTTGCAATTTGAGGAATTTTACCACTTTATTCCTTGAGTGTGAATGATGTTATAAGTGAAACAGAAACAACAGTAGATGAAGAGAGAGTTTAGAAATTAATAGTTGGAGGAGAGAGAGCTAGTCTGATAGGAAAGCACTTGATATTATGATAAACCATGTTGAATAATGAAATTATTCATCTGTCAGTCATTCAGTTCTGATAAATATGTTTTACCAAAAAATGAAATAAAAATGTCATAGAAAAAATACTGCCAGTGTTTTATGTTTCGTGTGCCATTTTTGTATTTTCTGCTTAATTTATGATCCTATAAATATAATTTTATAGGTTTTACATATTTATACTTTATTGTTGCTGTGTTGGCCATTTATTTATATGGTTAAAGGTTTGAATTTATACGACTTGATCCCTCTCTATTTGGTGTATACTGTATTTGAAAATGATTGACATAGTATAAAGTAATAATGAAAATCTTTAGAATTAACAATGGCATATTGAGTGTACATATGAGTTTATTGTAAAATAAAATGAATTAAGATTTTATTATAAAATAAAATAAGACATTAAATTTTGTGCTTTTTGAACCAGTAAACTGCAAATTGAGAAATTTTAAGGAACTTTCCTTGTCAAAACATATTAGGATTATTTTTTTTTTAAAGAGTTGTAGTTCTGAAAGGTTTGGAATTTAATTACATAATTTTTTCGGTAAAGTGCAGTGTTTAATTCTAGTATCCGTGCACAAGGGATTTGGCTATTTTGGACGATTTTATGATGAGCAGTAAATGGGACATATACGATGAGTAGTTAAACAGGTCATTTTGGTGTTGGCGATAATTTTCTAAATTGCTCCAAGGCTGCACCGCATACTATGATTTTACCGAGTGCAGAAACGCCCACTTATTTGTTTGGCACTTTTTACAAGGGTTAGTTAGTTAGTTCTAAGCACTGGCCCCCAGCCTACTAGCAGGCAAATCCTCCATATGGCTATGAGGGACAGGCCAAGCCACAAAACATAACACAACAACAAAAAAAGTAAAGTCGATCATACATTCCAAACACGCTTGCTGAAATAGTATTAAATGTGTCGTTTCCATTTAATGTGTTTTTCTTAAGTTTAAAATCTTTAAGTTTTACTTTCATTAGTATTATTATTCAAATCTTCTTTATATTATCAACTTCATCTAACTTAAATTACCTCATTATTTCTGTTTCAGTATGAATTTCTGCTTTGTTATATCTTGATACCAATATTCGGTTAATCTTGGATTTATGGTAACTCGGCGTTTTTTTGGCGACCAACCCTGCAAGCACCCTAGTTTTGTTTGACGCCTTTGTTTAACGAAGAAAGGCGTTTTTTTTTTTTTTTTTTCACAACATTTTTCCAACAATCTCTAGCAAATTACGCTATGCTGAACTTTTTGACAAAAGTGCTTAATCATGACGAAGATTAGGTGCGAAAGGGGAATCGCACTGCTTGCCGCGTTTTTAAAAATGCACATACACGTTATCCATTACAGTCGACCATTTTCACTTCAAAAAAATCCCAGAATTGCACAAAAATGACATTGCACATACTCTTGACTTATCCATGTACACTGCCAAAGTCCTAGCTAGTAACCTTTATCGCCTTACCAAAATGTCGCCAAACTATTGCCATATTCCAAAGATAAGCCCAATATTCTTCTTATTCTCATTCTCATTCACAGTTTGCATAATATCTCTTGCAAATGTTCTAAACAATTTATAGTTACTAAATAAATTCTCAAACTTCGCAAATATATATTTTTGTCTCACACTTTCAGTCAGGCAACAGTCCTCGACGAAATGCTTTGAATCACCAAATTTATTACAAACTTTACATATATCATTCTCTGGAGGTGGAACCTTTTTAAGTAAGCAGGAAACCTTCCATGTGCAGTGAGAATTTGATTGACATCTGCATCTCCTAAAATTCCCTTTTTTTTTTTTTTTTTTTTTTTTTTTTTTGCTAATTTTTAACATTTTAGATAGGTTTTGTGTTTCTTTCAAGGATCCCGTAAATTTTTCTGTCTCTAATAAGCTTGTCAAGATTTATAGTACATCTTCTTTCTTAAATCTGGATTAAAAACTTTTCGTCCAACCCCAGGGAGGCTCTTCACTAGAGCTCCGCGCTCTCATTCCCATAATGACCAGCAGGAGCTTGATCCAAGTAAGTCAAATAATTCTTCTTTCGTAGTTCTAAATGTATATGCTTATTTCATAACAATTTAGTCTTTTGAAAGGGGGGAGAGCGCCATAGAGCAGATAAGGCATCAGAGTATCAATTTAATGTATTAACCCCACATATAATTTCTTGATCCAGGATAAGCCAGTTAATTGCCATCAATCTGCTTGATAAACTTACTTTCTGGTTTTAGAGTAAACGTTGTATATCATTTCCATCATGGGAAATACAACAAGCACAGCCGATGCTCTCGCAAACATCCATTGTATAAATTTTCAATTTCTCAGCTGAAATATATCTTATCGTAGGATTTACCATAATATCGTTAGTATGGCTTGAAGAATCAGTTTTAAAAACTCGCCGTGTTCTTTATCTTTAACTTTCTTTTAATATTACAGTTCAGACAAATTTGTCATAAGTCAATTTAATTGTATGAAGAGGCGAAACCCAGCAGTAAGCACACAGCTTCTGTCTGGACTGTTCTAAATGATCTTGTAATTGCAGTGTCCAGCCCCTTACAATGAGTCGAAGTTCTGCCTGGTCGTGACAGTCCCTGCTCGATACCCATGCTCAATACCATAAAGAATGTTACTTTTTAAGGTAAAAACAATGGATTTTGTAATTTTCTTTTACTTTTAAGTGAAAATAGGTCGATGTGTACATAGATAACGTCAAGGGTGTGCGCAGTGCCATTTTTGTGCAATTCTGAGATTTTTTTTTTTAAAGTGAAAATAGGTCGATGTGTACATGGATACCGAGTATGTGCAATTCTTAAAAACGTGCCAAGCAGTGGGTGATCTGCACTTTCTCCAATTTTTTTAATGTTAAATCAAATTTGAATTGGAGGAAATCTGCTATTTGAAGCAACGTGCTTCGCGTATTTGAAGCAATGTGCTTCGTGTTTATTAAATAGTTCCCCCTACCCCAGATGCTAGTTAAAACTATCCTTTACAGATGTATATATGTTAGAATCACTGAATTTATGCAGTGAAACCTTGGTCTATGCAATTTTTAGTCTATTTTTTGAGTAATGGTATTTTTGAGTAAAGAAAATGTATATCTAAAGAAGAACTACGGAAAGAATACTTGTTTATTGAAAAACCATAATCGCAAAATTTTCAATAAGCCTGGTGGACATACAGATATTAAATTGCATATAAATACTAATAAACATAAAATATAACAATCTGCCTCTGTATGTAGCTCGTCATTAAAGATTTTTTCAAAAAAGGAGAAAATGTTTGATAAGGAAGAATTAGCTGCAGTAGAAGGTACTTTGCATACCATACTATTTGCCACAACCATAACTTTAGGTCTATGGATTGTACGTCCAGACTGCTTCAAGTGGCATTTGTGCCTAAATGTATATGTGCACAAACGAAGGCAAGCGCAATAATACTAAATGTTTTCGTGCCTTATGCTTTAAGAGCTTTTCACAGTGATTTGGAAAAATGTTCATTTGTTTCAGAGTTAATTGATAAGTTCGATCGCAAGAAAATAAAACTTTTTCCAGTACTTTATAGATTGGAGTTATGGAGTTGAGTAAAAATTTCAAAATTTAAATCTTTACCTAGTGAACCATCTGATATTGTCGGCAACTATTTATCTACCTGTTTTGAAAAAAAAAAAATTAAAAAAATTATTGGTCTTTGTGCCAATAATATGAATTCTAACATTGGAGGGTCTGATAGACATGGAGAAAATAATATTTTTGTTAAACTGAAATGAAACCTTTAACCATGGTTTAATTGAAGTTGGATGTGCAGTGTATATTGTCCATAACAGTATGAGAACATCTGCTGTTTTGCCAATTGATATAGAAACGATTATTTCTAAAATACACTTTAAATCCTCACCATTAGAGTAAAAACATTGAAAAATTCTTACAACTTTATAGAAACTAATTTTTCAATGATACTATGGTATTCACAAACAGGATGATTAGCATTATTTACCCATTATTGAAAGGGTATTCCATATGTTTTTCACACTAAAGTCTTATTTTCCATCTCAAGAAAAGCATCCCATGCTTATTTTGAAATTTTTTGAAAATCCAGTGGCTACATTTTCTTAACATTCAATCTTTCATAAAGTTATTACAACAGTTGAAAATCAAACATTGTCTGGGTTTGATGTAATTGCTTCAGTGGATGCTCTGAAAGCTTCAATATCGAGCAAGATAGAGGATAACTTTATTGCAATAAATGTAAAAGAAATTCTAGAAAAACTTGAAAAGAATGAAGAGGTGTCACAATACAAAGTTATTTCATTCTAGACTGCTCTTACTTATTTGTAGAAATGGACAAAAAAGTATTTCAGAAGATGGAAACATATAGCTGGATCACATTAAATGAAATCCCTTCTTAGAGTCAAGTTGAAACAGCCTTTTTAATACCAAATCGTAAATTATTAGAAATTGGTATATATAAGGAATGCGTTTACCTTAAACAATATATCACAGGACAAAAAACATAAACAAAACAAGAAAAAATTGGAATGTTCAAACAATAGCATATGCCCAATTCAGAGGTGGATAAAACAACTGCGTATTTTAATGAGAATTATATTCCTTGTTCAAATGTTTCAAAATTGCCTGAATTTATCTTTTGTCTTCCTGACACTAATGTTGCAATTGAGTGAGTATTTAGTGTTATGAACAGTTTTTATACTAACGATAAGACACAGCTTAAAATGGGCACTTTGAACGGTATTATGAATCGCCAAGATAATCTTTGACGATAACTGACTTTTATAAGAAGATCAAAAAAGAAAAAGGTAATCTATGAATATCCATGCTTCAGGGAAATATAAGGTTATATCAAAATAATTTAGAAGGGTTAAATGCAAATTTGTTATTTTGTTTAAAAATGAATACTGCATTTTTATTTATTCTTTATTAAAAATTATTATATATTAGTATTAAAACGTAAATTATTAATTTTGATATTATATATATATATATAGTTATAACCAAATATTTTATTTATAAAAAAAATATTAAAAGAATTAAATTTCAAACTTTTTGGTCACCTTAAAATTGGGAATGCTCAATCCGACTTCAGGCAGGAGAAAAATCAGTGTTTCTGTTTCATGAAGCATGAAATGAGTTAATTTTTATTTATCAAATGCTTAATGCAATGTAATTATTTTATCAGTAGATTGTGATACCGGTTCCATATTTATTTGAAAGTTAGCCAGGGTTAGTTGTAAAAGCACTTATCGAGAGCAAAAGAGTAAACAAAATTTCCATTTTTGATACATTTTCATAAAAAATACTCGAAGCAATGAGTCAAATAATGGAGAATGTTAAAATGATTTTTCTAGAAGTCCCTGAATGTTAATTCTGTGTCACAAGTTAGTTAGGAGTTTGTGTTCGTAACTCAAGACACTATTCGCCATTTAAGATGCTCATTGTTTAAATAATTTGGTTGTAAAGAGAAGTATTAAAGATCTGAGGTTCCATTATATTTACTGAAAGTGTATAAAATATAATTGGTGTTGTTCTATTGAATGTAGAAATGTTTAATTCTCTGTTTTTGAACCATATTAAAACTCAGAGCAGCAAAATTCCCAAAAAATTTTAATGCATATGTAATATACATTAAAATGGGTGTACTCCAACTGCGCTGATGAAAATCCCCCCCTCGTCCTGAGATAGTCCAACTGCGCCGATCAAAATTTCTTTCCCCCGTTGGCCCAGGTTTACAATTTATTTTTCGAAGCCAACTGTAGCCAAGAGGAAAATAAAAAAAGAAAAATTTTTTTATAATGATAGTGGATTAGTGCCAATGTATAAACTAAGCTTCGGCCACAGATAACGTCTTTATATTATGTAATTAAGTCATGCGTAAATCCTTCTGGAATTTATTCCAGAAATAGTTTTAAGATTCTAAAGATTTCTAGGGGTTGAATTTAAAAAATACAGCAGAAATGAGAAGAGATTTAGTCTCTTTCATCATAATTATTAAGCATTATATACCCTACACGGAGCACGCACTCCTTGAAACTGAATATGGACATAGCGGCACAGAAAAAATTTTTTGAAAAGAACTATGTAGTAATGCATAAATGAAGAATTAAATAAAACTATCAAAGAAAATACATAAATTATTACATCAAACACCTCTTGACCGCAAGTGGTAGAATTTTGTTTTCTCGTTTATCTTTCAGCAAAGCTTATAGAATTAATAATCTTTCATTCGCTAAATTATAACAAATGTAAATTATAGAAAACGCTAAAGTTAAATACTACAGTGGAAAGGAAAATTCTGGAATAAAATGTTAGAAAATTAGATGAGAAAATCCATATTTATTGATATCCATATAAACTCTATGCTTTTCGAAAAAGTTACACATAATTTGCACTGATATCAATCACCGAAACCAGTTAATTTCTTTCCTTATTTTTTTCTTATCAGAGGATTGTAAAAAGACCGCTAAGGGAAAATTTTGCAATATTTTAAGAATAAATTTTAAAAGTATTTTTACTTCATGAACTGAAATTTTACTATACATTTTTACACAGTAAATAAGTACAAAAAAGAAAGAGTTAGGGGATCACTGGGGCTAGAAACTCGGGTCTACTACCATGTTTTTGTGACTTTTCTGCTTGATCATAAGACCTTTTAATTAGGCTGAACAGATATTAAAAAAATAAAGATACAGCACACACAAGTGGCTGAATTAGATTTACATGTTTAATGAATAAGTAAACTTACCTGTATGCCATTATGAACTATTGGATGTAACATAAAAGCATGAGTGAAGAAAGCAATGGCAACTAAACATTCTAATCTAAATGTATAATATCAGTATCTGCTATTAATTTCAAACTGCTGAAAAAATAAATGAATTATATTTAAATTGTATGAACTCGTTGCATTATAAATTACAACAGTTAGAAATATTATTAGTGTGATTTAGCGACCATCTTTGTTAACAAATAATTTCAAGTAACTAATTTTACAAATAAGTCAGCCTGAAACTAGGTTAGAAAATAAGCTACTGCTGAAGATTAAGCTTTGCCAAGGTGTTAAACACTTCTATTAACTAGAGTTATGAAGCCCAAGAATTTGTAAAAATTATCATTTAAATATAAATTGGCATAAAATACAATACAAATTATATAAATTTTACATACATGGAAACTTGAGTACAGTGCTACAATATGTGAAAAAGGAATGGATTAAAAGGGAGACTGAAACTCCCAGGATATGATATAAGGAAGTTTGATTTTTTTTTTTTTTTTTTTTTTTTTTAATTATAAAAATTCTGATGAACGCTCATAATTATCAATTTTTTAATTAAATGTGTATTAGAAATTAAATGTATGCCAAAGTACTCAGGTGAAAACAGAATAAATATTTTTCTAGTATTAGAATATGGAATTTGTTAAAAGTTCGTTTCTAGTATTAAATAATAATAAAGTTAAATAAATAAAGTTCGTTTCTAGTATTAAAATATGGAATTCGTGACAAAGTTAAATAAACCTTAAAATAACTGCAATGATTAAAAATGGAAACCTTAATACGGGAATATATTGCATAATTAGTGTGAATTTAGAACGACTTAAGAAGTCCAATTTTTAGATTTAATAAGAGAATTTTTTTTAATTAAATTAAACTGTTTTACCTAAAATGTAAATTTGAAAGTTAAAACCATTTCTGCTGTCTAAGAAATTTGTTAATATTTATCTAGACAAGAAACTTATTTAAGGTGAGCTACAATCTGATATTTGATACGTTGAATATGTATCATTTTTGTGTATGTCATTAATCTATCAATTTTACTATTCAAAACTGATATATATATATCACGCTAAAATCTACTATTTGAAAGTTTTAATTCTTACAGAGAAAAAAGATCTGGCTCATCATTCCTTTAAGCATCATAACAACAAAAATGGTGTAAAGAATTTTTTTTTAGCACATGCCAGACTTTAAATTAATATTTGTTTTACATGCACAGTTTTTACAGTATTGATAAACGAAAATAAAGGCTTGCAGTCTCAATAGAATGTCATAGAATGTCTCATTGGAAAGAAATGGGGGACAGGAAACGTCGCGCAGTTCGTGGATTAAAAAAGAGGGGGATTTTCGATCAAATTTGGCGCAGTTCGTACCCTACCATTAAAATCAATATACATTATCTCTGACTGTCTATCTTAAAAATTTTGGTACTTTTCCATTTTGCCGGCATGGGCGTTAAAGTTGCCAATAATGGTACAACTAATGCCAAACATAATATCCTTGCTGGTAACCTTTTACGCTTCATTTTCAAAACAATTCACAGCCATTTCTTCTTTCGATACTGGCATACGATTACATAGAATTTTTACCAGATAGTATTTTATACCCTAAGCCCATTCGCGGTAATTAAGTCAATTAGGATACAATCACGCCGCTCACCCGAAGGCGAAAATATAGAAAAGTCAAGGGTTAAATTCCTCATTTCTAATGAAAATGCACTAGCGAAGCAAAGCTCCGCAGATTTACATAATTTTTTAGTAAACTATTCGTATGAATTGAAATAATTCTTTCATTTAAACTTGTAGTCCACATTAAGATTCAACTTGAAATTAAAGTACTATATAATTACTGAGAGAGATTTTTGTAGTTTACGTGAGACTTGGGGTCACGTGATATGAAAAGGCAATTCAGGATATTGAACCATGAAAGCATAGTAAATTCTTAAATTACTATCTTTTTACAAATGTATTGTTTTTATTTATTGGCTTTTTTACAATAATTTTAAACAATATTAAAATATTTATGCCTTCAAAATAAAAAATTTTTAGAACTAACATTTTTTATTTGTATACTTATTTTGTTGTCGCCAATAAAGTCTGCTTGGCGAGATTTACGCTGACGAAACGGAAAAGTACCAAAAATTTTTTTAAAAAAAATTTTAGAATAATATCCAGTAAGTAAGGAAAAGATCATTTTTACATATTGCACATAGTAGCATTTCCTTTAATATCTATCACAATTTTTTGTCTTTCTTAGGGCAATGCTAATTTCTAATACTTCTCTATCATATGACCTCCATTCATTTCTGATTTTATAATATGATCAAGACTTTGTAATATCTGGTATTTTGCTTTTTGTTTTCAAAAGTAAAATGTTATCTAAAAAATAAATAAAATTATAGAGAAAGCAAAAATTTTGAGTCCTATAATTGTTTTTAAAATTTATTTAGTTTATTTTCACAGTTACAGTGGTTTAATTCAAGTACATGAATGTAATTATGTTTTTCCTTCTTTTTTTTTTTTTTTTTTTTTTTTTAGGTGAGGTTTAATTTTTGAATATCAATAACCATATCTAAAAGGAATTTACAAATGGCTCCTCAAGGTGATCACAATGTTTCTAAAAGCAAATGCCATCTTGAAAGTCGAGATGGAAAACAGAAACTGTTCTCTTTCCGCTGGCTTTTACGTAAAAGCAAGAGCACCAGGTCTGCTAAAGAAATAATGCAACCAGAGAAACCTGTAAATGTGCCATCTTCTAAATCATGCGACACAGGTATGAACGGCTTTGAAGCTGTAGACCGCTGTCCAAGAGTTTTGCTGTGGAAATTGCTTCCTTTGACTGGAAAAAATGTGGGTCACAGCAAGTTAGGTGCTTGTGCTGTGCGTGAAAAATTACCTTTGAGAACATCATTTAGTTGTAATGATGTTTATAGCATGGTTCCAACTGTTAATGTTTTGTGCAGTACTGAAAGCAGTCAAGATCTCAATCTCACAAATCAGAATGCATCACGTATGAAATATCCTTCACTAAGTTGGTATAGATTGTGTAAATCAAATACTCATTCAAGTAACTTGGATAACTTTTCAAAAGGCATCTCCATACCTAAGTACAAAACTGTCATCTCACAGCCAACATAATGTTTTATGTAAACTTTGTTTAACAATGGTCCCAGCAAGTAACATGTACACATTACATGATTGTAATTGTGTCTTCTGTGTTATGGTAAGTAGAGTTTCATATGTAATTTATCTTCATATATTTCATAAATTTAGAAAATACTTAGTAACCTTCATTTCAATATCACTTTTTTTTTTTTTTTTTTTTTTTTTTTTTTAATACAAGAGCTTACTATATCATATTCCAGTTAAACCTCTGTAAGCTGTGCTGTCATCTGGATATCATGTTATTCCATTTATCATGTCACTTTTTCAAAATCCCCAAATTTACTAATTATGAGTGTAATTTAGTAGTTTTTCAAAAGGGAACTCTGTATACTACAACATTTTGGGCTTTCAATTGTGTTATTTTCTTTAAAAAAATAACAATTTCCTAATATTTTTTATGCTCTTAGCAATATCAAAGAGTTTAAAGTCAGTACAAATGTTTACTCATTTTAAATTTACCGAGAAAATGCCAAACATTAAATTTAAAAACTGCACAGAATTTTATTCTGCAGAACAAATTTATCAAAAAAAAAAAATTTCAATAAAAATTTATTATATTTATAAAAAACTTACAATGAAATAAGCGGTATCCCTTAAAAACAAATATTAATTATCCTAATAAATGAATTAATCTTCCTGTTCCCTTCTCTCGACAAATGAAATGAGTATCCAAGAGAAACATTAAATTTAAAAGCTGCATAGAATTTTACTGTGCTGATTAACTTTACATAAAAAAATCAATAAAAATGTATTATATATGTAAAAAATTGTAATGAAATAAGCAATATCACTTAATACAAATATTAATTATCCAACTTCCTGTCACAGATCTTAAGAATTCAAATGGTGTAAAGGAAGTTAAGAACTTTGTTTTCCTAAAAAAATCATGCAAAACCTTTTATATAATTAAAATTTAGACATAATTAAAACATAATATAAAAAAATTGCAATGAAATAAGCAATAAATCTCATACTTTCAAGAGAAAACAGTGAGCAATCCAGTATCCAAGACAATGAATGAAAAATTGTTACCAGAACCACATTTCTAAAAGAATGAAACTATCATCAGAAAGCAATAACCAATCAAAATTGTGCTTTGTGGATGACATAATTCAAAATATACAAAACACTTTGTCATTAGCTAATGAAGAGAGAAATAATAAAAAAAGGAAATTCTTTCTATTGTGCCTCACGAGACACATGTGCATCAGAATAAGAAGATTGCAATCTGTGTGTTGTGTGTCCAAAAATCAAAAGGAAATAAGTAGCATTTTATATCATATTTTCAACAGTCAGCAGTCCAGTGTACAAAGCATTGAAGGAAAAACTTGCCAAAACCACTTTTCTAAAAGAATGAAACTATTGAAAATGATGCAGTTTCATCAAAAAAGTTAAAAAAAAAAAAAAAAAATGCTATTCAGATTTTGAAAAAATCACTTGGAGATGCACTGGCTCGTGTGTAGATGCACATATGTACCAAATTTGGTAGCACTAAGTTATTAGCTTACGAACAGCACAAATGACACACACACAGACTTCTTTTTAATATATATATTTCTTTTATTGTTATCTTTCTTTATATATTATTATTTCTTTTATTGTATGCATATACAGTATATAGTCCGTAATCCGGACTCTCGGGACTTCGCGATTCGGATTAGGGTTTTTCCGGATTATAGATCATCAGTTTAAATCTGGTAAGATGGCATGCAGAAATGATACAATTAAAAATATGAAATCATAATTTATTAAATAAAGAACAATTATGATCTAAAAAGTATCAAAATTTACAAAAAAAAAAAAAAAAACTTAATTTATTTGTTTCTTTATTAACATTTCTTTCAATGTAAGTTGTTAAGATGCTTTTACAAAAAATTCAAAAGTTCCTTTTCTTGGTCATATATAGTGGACTTTCCAATGCCATACTTCTTGCATAATTTTGAGACTGATAGGCCTTTATCCATTTTTTGCAGTAATTCACTTTTTGTTTAATGGACTCGAAACATGCTTTCACTTTGTAGATCCTTTGGCAGCTCCAGAATGGAAACTCTTTTCGACATAATCGAAAGTCAAGCTTAATTTTTATAAAATTGTTCTAACAGTCTGCAAAAAATAATAAGCCGGATCCAATTAGAAGATTAAGGAACAGCGCAATGTGCAATATTAACTGAAATGCCTTAGATAATTTTAGCCTAGCTTATACCATCCGTTATACATTAAACGCGCATGCGTAAAGTTTGTAGCTTTGAGGTCCGGATTATAGATCATTCTGGAATATGGACGTTCGGATTACAGACTTTGTATATGGTGAAGTGACATTTCTGGGCACTGGTATCTGTTTGAAGTAAGCAGACTTTAAGTAGCAGTATGAGAAATGAATTAACAGTTTGAGGACAGTGCCTACTGCTAAGGTAGACTAAAGCAAAGGAAATGAAAAACATTAGCAACTTAGGCACCTTTTACCAGGAGATATATTGGAATATTAATTGAAATTTTAGCTTTAAAATGTGTAGATATATTTTATATTTAAATGAAGTACATTGAACTTTCACAAATTTGAAAATTATTTCAGTTCAGGAATGAGGTTGATTTTTTAAGGCCATTCATTATCTAAAATATTGTAAATTGGAATTTTTCTTCCATAGCAATTATGTAAAATGGATTAATCTGTTCCTAAACCACAAATGGTGTCTAATTTAAACTTGAAACAGTGCTGCAAAAATGAAGAAATGATTAAACTAAAATAAAAAATACAAAACACAATATTCAGCAGGTAGAATAAGACAAAATTTAATTTGATTTTACTGTATTTGTGAAAGAGAATGGACAGCACAAGTAAAGGTGATAAGGAAAGAAAGGAAAAAGATGTTTTTTTGGTTGAGCAGTCCCCTTTTCTTACCTTTCTTTGTCTTCGTAACAGCACTCATAATAATGAATGATTAAATGTTTTTAAAGGAGACATGGAATTGTCATGAAAAGTGTGTAATTGGCTTTCCTACTGCTTTAATAGGGGTTACTATTACATGTAAACTTTGCACTTTCCTCCATTTTACACATTTTTTTTTTTTTTTTAGATTAAAGAAATAGGATATTTCTCTTCCTTACTTCCTCCATGGTTGCTTTTTATTACTGCTTCTGAAATTGTTTCTAATTTTTTCTGAGCTCATTTGAATGATCCTTTAGTAACTTCTGTGTTTTTTTCACAGTTTCGTTTAGAATGCAGTATCCCTAATAACAAAAGATTCTTCTGTGTCAAAGCCTTCAAATCTGTACTTGCAATATGGTCTGTCCATAATTTACTTCAGGCTGAATTTAGCTCTCTATATCACTTGCTGTAGGACTTTTAAACAATTGAAAATTAAAAGATATTTCTAGATGATCTGAGTGTTAATTTTATGTTAGCTCAAAATGCTTTCAAATCAATTGTTGCCAACTTGAGTGTTCTAACTCAAGACAATGTTTATCATCTTGTGTACTTTTTCTTTAGATTATTTGTTCATATTCATGATCTAAGATTTTGCTGTAATATAAAGATAAGGTATATTGGCATACTGAAAGTTAGCCTCTAATTCACACGTAAGCAAATTAAATTGACAACTATTTAAAACGATGCTAATGTATTTTTTTTTTAAATCTTTCTTTGAATTTCGTGGAAAAGGTCTAGATCAATTAAATTTTTTATAACATTGCTTTGCATAAATATTGCTTTGATTAGTTGGAGAATGGTATACTATGAGATGTGCTGTGTAAATGAAATGAGTATCCAAGAGAAACATTAAATTTAAAAGCTGCATAGATTTTACTGTGCTGATTACTTACATAAAAAAATCAATAAAAATGTATATATATGTAAAAAATGTAATGAAATAAGCATATCACTTAATACATAAATTATCCAACTTCCTGTCACGATCTTAAGAATTCAAATGGTGTAAAGGAAGTTAAGAACTTGTTTTCCTAAAAAAATCAGCAAAACTTTTATATAATTAAAATAGACATAATTAAAACATAAATAAAAATTGCAATGAAAAAAAAAGCAATAATCTCATACTTTCAAGAGAAACAGTGAGCATCCAGTATCCAAGAAATGAATGAAAAATTGTTACCAGAACCACATTTCTAAAAGAATGAAACTATCATCAGAAAGCAATAACCAATCAAAATTGTGCTTTGTGGATGACATAATTCAAAATATACAAAACACTTTGTCATTAGCTAATGAAGAGAGAAATAATAAAAAAAGGAAATTCTTTCTATTGTGCCTCACGAGACACATGTGCATCAGAATAAGAAGATTGCAATCTGTGTGTTGTGTGTCCAAAAATCAAAAGGAAATAAGTAGCATTTTATATCATATTTTCAACAGTCAGCAGTCCAGTGTACAAAGCATTGAAGGAAAAACTTGCCAAAACCACTTTTCTAAAAGAATGAAACTATTGAAAATGATGCAGTTTCATCAAAAAAGTTAAAAAAAAAAAAAAAAATGCTATTCAGATTTTGAAAAAATCACTTGGAGATGCACTGGCTCGTGTGTAGATGCACATATGTACCAAATTTGGTAGCACTAAGTCTATTAGCTTACGCACAGCACAAACGACACACACACAGACTTTCTTTTAATATATATATTTCTTTTATTATGTTACTCTTTCTTTATTATATGTATTATTTCTTTTATTGTATGCATATACAGTATATAGTCCGTAATCCGGACTCATCGGGACTTCGGCGATTCTGGATTAGGGTTTTTCCGGATTATAGATCATCAGTTTAAATCTGGTAAGATGGCATGCAGAAATGATACAATTAAAATATGAAATCATAATTTATTAAATAAGAACAATTATGATCTAAAAAGTATCAAATTTACAAAAAAAAAAAAAAAAACTTATATTTATTTGTTTACTTATTAAACATTTCTTTCAATGTAAGTGTTAAGATGCTTTTACAAAAAATTCAAAAGTTCCTTTTCT